GGGGGGGGGTTGTAAATCAATGGTCACCTGTAAATATTTGTAAGTGAGAACCATCACAATGATACCCATCATGCCAGCTGTGATCACAAAGCCGATGAGCAGCGGTGTGAACAGGGTGTGCGCCTGGATTTGCTCTGCAAAGAAACAGAAGTGTGATCTCGAGCTGTTAGCGAGACAGCAGCCTGGCTGCCACACCCGCCCCGAACTGACCCATGTCCCGTCTTATGACCCATGCAAGGGACACAGCTATGAGTCTCCGATTTTCACATCCTGGTATTCAAATAAGTTCTTTTTCTTTTCCCTTCCTCTTCTTTTGCCTTCTTTTTTTGGGTATTAGATATGAAACTTGGGTAAGTGCTTTAGCAATGAGCTATACACCTAGCCTCATTAGATTTATATGAATCTTTAAAAATATAGGTTGAAACCAGATTACTGAGTTGAGATTTCTACAGAATATGTACATATACAATGTTGGGCTGATTTCAGTGAAAAGTAACATCTGAATGAACTTTCTGGGTGTTTTATATTTTGTTTTCCTGTTTTCTAAATTTTCTACACTGAACATAATTGTCTTTCACAATGAAGAAAAACATTTTGAAGTGTCCTTTTCATTGTCCTTTCTGGAGAAAAAAAAAAAAAATCAACAACGGAAAGCAATGTTAAGATCTTTATCCCTTTACCCCATTACTCAAAAGCTAAGGACACAGAACTTTTGGCACTAGTCCAGGTCAACTCCAAATGCCACAGAAACCAAGCACTAAAAAGCTCAGGTGTCTAGCTTCTTTGTGTCCCAAGTTCAGACTCATTCATCAGTGTTCTCCAGGATCATCTGGCCTATGTTAGGACAACTAGTCACTCACATAGCACAACTAAAAGAAACAGCTGGCTGGATAAGTGGCAGAGTAAGCATGAGGCTTCAGGTCTGAGCCCTGGTGTTTCATGTAGGTTAGTACATACATACATACACAAATAAAATTGAAAAAAGTTTGCTAACAAGATCATACAAAGGATAGAGTTAACATTCTAATATAGTTATCTGACAAAATGTCAACATCTTAATAACTAAAATTTTAAACTGAATTTAACATTTTAAAATTGCTCTAATTATACTTGTGCATAAGGTAGGCAGATTCCCTGCTTCCTTTCATTGTAAATACATGGCTACTTATATAGAGATAGGCCCACACAAACACACATAGAATAGATGAAGTAAAATGGTTAGGATAACACTGGGAAAAGCACAAACCTTATTAGCAAACTAGTATGGAATGAGATTTTGTGAGTTCGATGACAGCATGGTGTGATGCAGGTATTACCAGGAATGACATGGCCAATCTGGAATGGACTTAAAAATCATGGTATGGTAGACAAAGCCTAAACATCCCCCTTAAATTGGATCAAAAAGAAATATACCTTTGTTGTTACCTTTAAATGCAAAGTTAAAGAAGGCAGAGATCTTGCCCACATCGTTGTAAGCCTTACACTCCACTGTGCCATTGTGCAGGAAAGCACTGGAGTCTATAGAGCTCTGAACCACCAGTTTTCCAAATGGTGGTGTAGATGTGTTCTGGATCTGTACATCCACAGGTGGGATGGGACCAGTACACCTAGGACAAGAAAATAACAGTGTGGGCTTATGCTAGGAAACCAAATAAACTCAGGCAACACCTTGATCTGGCACGCTTGTCAGCAAAGCAAAGACAACCAATCAATTAAAAATTCCCTTTTATATCCATTGGACCTGAAGAGAAATAAGCCCTTCGGGGTACTGGGGGAGGGGGCAGTGTAGAAAAGCACAAGGAGGGCAGAGGCTTAAGGGTTGGACACGGACTTGAGTCCTGACTCCAACTGCCTGTCCTAGAGAGTTCTAGAAACTCTCCAGCTCTAGGTTTCTGTAGCTCTACCATGCCTCACATGGCTAGAAATGAACTCAAACAGTTGCCATCCACAGATTCTGCCACACAACAGATCTTAGACAGCAAGAGGTTTGAAAAGGGTGAACAGTTGAAGTGAACAAGTGTGGAAGAGGGAAGCATGAACGATCAGGGAAGAGGACAGGAAAAAGACTCCAATGTAGGAGGAGCTTGAGGCCCCATATGTGACAAGTGACCACTTCCACTGGGAGGATCTTTTTCAGAAGGCAGCACTTAACTAGCCTATTGTAAACTCCTGTTTTCCATTGCCTTCCAAGTACCTACATACATACGCCACACTTCTTGATCTTATCTGTTGTCTCCACCCACTAGAACAGAAACTCACGCGGGCACAGCTGGGTATGGTGTTCACTAGATCAGTGTTGGGCACACTGTTGGTTTCCATATAAATATTTTACTGAATGAAAGATTACCAACCTAGGCTGTGTCACAGAGGGCATACCTTCCAGGGTTCTGTGCCCTCCTTACCGCTTCTCCAAACAAAATATTCTGTTAAAGCTCACCCCAAAACAATAATCCAACATAATCATGCCTGACATGTTGTTATAAAACATCTTCCATGAAAAATAAGATTTCCACCACAGAATACAGAGATATTCAGTTGTGAGGTTAAACTGAGCTTTTAAAGCTGGAATATAAAACAGTGTTTAACAGATAAAGAGGCAATGTTGACCCCATTTTCATCTTCAGGTAATGCATAAGGATAATTTAAGGCTTAAGTGTGGACTGCGAGGGAGAAGCCACACAACGCCAGATGTTCCTGTTTCGGGGGCTGGGCACCTAATCAAGGAGAAAACCTTTTTAAAACGCGTTGCTCACAAATGCCATATGTATGTTGTAATTGTGTGATCATTACTTTTTGGTAACTTGGCAATTAAGTTTTGAGGTAATTTTTTCATGATAACTGCAGCCACATTTCCCACACACATTACCTCCTGTGTATAGAATGGAAATCTAATTACTCTGTCCTGGAAAATTGCTTTATCTACCTGCAGGCTAGAAATTGCATGATAAATCCAAAAAGATAACCACCAAAATAGAGAAGTCATTCGGTAATCATTTTTCAGCAAACAAAATTAATGTCGACCAGGAAAAATATAACCATTATCCCTTCTAAAGAAGCCACACGGGTGTAAAAAATAAATAAACAATCAAAACGCAGTTTTTCACTCTAAAAAACAAGTAAACCTGAAAACATATTTGAAATTCAACTGAATTGTAGTCCTTCCCTTCTGCATTTTAAACAGTGCCAAAAATAATCCTCTCACCTTTGCTCTGCTCCTGTACAAAAATACCAATCTATTGTGGGTTCTGGGAATCCCGCTGCCACACACTGAAGCATGCCATTCATGAGCCTGTCGTATGTCAGGATTTCTGGTTTTGCTGCAGGAAAAGAGATGTGGCCATAGGTCAATCTGCTAAACAAGTCCAGTGAGGTTCACGCCGTTCCCTCTCTCATTCCTAGAACCTTCCAGAGGCTGCTGAGGAGCCTGAGGGGGACATGTTATTCATCTGAACCAGTGGTGGAAGACGGGAAGACAGCATGAGAGCTCAGCCAAGGACAGCAATGCTGTCCAGCCCTGCATGGGTCATCTCCATTCACCTGCAGGCATGGGGGTCTTCTGGAACTCCGTGTAGAAGAGGCTATAAGAGCAACCTGACAGGGTTCTACCTCCAGTGAGCAGAAGGTCTGTTTCTGGTCAAAACTGTAGCACTCGTTCTGAACTTTTCTAAAGGCAGAAAGTCCATTTTCTTATAGTGGACTCCTGCAAATGGAATTTCATGCTGCTGTACCTGCCATAAGATTTCATGCTGTTGAGAGGACTGGGATGGGTGAGATTAGGAGTTGTTGCAGAAAAATAGAAGACCTACTCTCCCCTTAGGGTATTGTAAGAGGTGGTACTGATAAAGAGCTGAACTGCTGTTCTTATAAGAAAGCTAAAGCATGAGCATAAAGGACAGTGTGAGCTTCTAACTCTAAACCTTTATTTCAAATACAAAACACTGACAGAAAGTAGGAAGAAGAAAACAGCCCTAGAATTTTATTCATACATACATGGAGAGTCTGGGTATAAGCAGCAAAAACATAAATTGTGCCAGCAGGAAGACCTTAACTTGACATTCCTGTGTAACTGTAATAATCAATTGGTAGTCAACAATTTCAAGTTGGTGGAATTATTTCTAACATGAAAAGAACTTCTGTTGTTCTAACGGCAATATACCTGAAGGTTTCAAGTCCTCTGAGAATGAGTGCAATTAACTATGAGTATTGTGTGGGCAGAAATGATGGGGGGCTCACTTGTATCCTTTGAGAGGAGCCAAAGACTGTGAGCCTAAGACTGAGCTCAGAACCACCAAGACAGGTGTGTGTGGGCAATCTGAACTGATTACATTTCTCACTCTCCTAATTCTGATTCTTCATTTCTAGGATGGGAATAATAATTAGTAATCTAGTAGGATATTGAGATAAGTAAATGGGAGGAGTGGACAAAGAAATGACTCGGCATATGATGCATTTACTATTAATACTACTGACTTAACAATTCTTTTCCAATTTGAGTACACATGCTCCCAGTTAAGCAAGCTAGCTACAGATTAAGTTAACTATATTAACTACTCTTATGACTCCCTTTAGAGCTCTAAAAATTGCTTCTTTAAGACAGCCTGACAAGTGCGTATGTGTTTTAACCTGATGCATTGGGACTCCAACATCAATTATACTGGAACTAATGAGGGCAATGGATGTGAGAAGGAAGGACTGACAGATCAGAAGCTCAGAAGTTTATTTCCCCAAAGGAAGGTAACAATGATAAATGACATCTTTGTGGAGCTGCTTGGCATCTCACCTCCTCAAAGGCAAAATGAGTTGGCAGAGATCAGTGTCCACATGCATGACACACCCACCTGTCACTCAACCTGGCCCTGTTGATGGCAGGCCATTTGGCAAACACACACAAAAGAGCCACTCTCCAAAGCCATCTCAAGGTAGGAGCATCCTTGAGAGTTTGAATCTAATGCCAGCTTTCACAAATAGAGCAAGAAGACAAGCCATCATCTTGCAAAAGCATCCATCTGGCAAGTTTCATTTAATTATCATGGGCAACTGTGGGACCAGGCTGAAAAGTAGGACATATATTCTCTCTCTCTCTCTCTCTCTCTCTCTCTCTCTCTCTCTCTCTCTCTCACACACACACACACACACACAACGGTGGACTCTTCAGGGAATGCTATTTTGCTGGAGACTGCAGGCACCATACACAGAGTCTCTCTGGACTTAGCTTAAGTGTTACTTCCTTTTTTTAAGCAGCCCTGCTTCTCCCATGCCAAGCTGGCTGATCTCTAGCCTTGTTCCTGGGGCCCTTAGGAGCACCTGACTCTGTTATTCAAGTTCTTGGTCACCTCTTCTCCATCAGACTATACACTTTCAATGGCAGGAACTGCATCTTTCATACTCCACCTGCAGGGTTTGATGGGGGCAGGCATGCAGTAAGAGCTAGTGAAAGAATATGAGGCCATCTACCAAAGGAACAAAGTCCCTGAGACCAAAATCAGTGTCACAAGATAGTAACGGGGAGACTAGTCTAATGGTGACTTTCCTGGGGAGGGGATGTATTTTCCCTATTCTTGCAACAGAGAACCAAAAGATAAGAAATCTACACGTATGCCTAGCCATGTCAATGTTTTATAATACAGACATTAACAATGAATACGGAAGCCCACAAGGAGGTGGCAAAGATGACACATGAGTCAAGTTAATTACACGGATCTACTTACATTCCTTTTGTTACTAGCCTTTCCTAATGTGCATCACATCTTAAGATGGGCTTTTATTGGGATTAAATGTTAGCTCAATGGAAAAAGAATTCTTTTTAAAAATAATTTTTAGCCAGGCATGGTGGTGCATGCCTTTAATCCCAGCACTGGGGAGGCAGAGGCAGGCAGATCTCTGTGAGTTCAGGGCCAGCCTGGTCTATGTGGTGAGTTCCAGGTCAGCTGGAGCTACAGGGAGACCCTGTCTCAAAATGATAAAATATATATATATATTTATCATTTTTATTTTATGTATGAATGTATTGTCTGCATGTATGTAAATGTACCTATGTTGTACAATGCCTCCAGAGGTCAGAAGTGGGTGTCAGATTCCCATGGAACTGGAGTTATCAGCTGCCATGTGGCAGTTGGGAATTGAACCCAGGTCCTCTGCAAGAGCAGCCAGTGCTCTTAACTGCTGAGTCATCTCTCCACCTCTAAAAAAGAATTCCTAAAGGCTCAAAGGGTACCTTCAGATATTGATAATGGGATTACCTCTGGGTAGTAGTAGGCTTATGGATAGTTTCGACATTATATAGTATCATCCTATTTTATTTGTGTAGAGAATATGTAGCCAAAAATAAACTTATAAAACATTTGTAATTTTAAAATATCACAATAGAGCTGGAGAGATGGCTCAGCAGTAAGAGCACTGGCTGCTCTCATGGAGGACCTGGGTTCAATTCCCACACAACAGCTAACAACTGTAACTCCAGTTCCAGGGGATCCAACACCCTCTTCTGACTTCTGCAGGCTTGCTCGACATGGGTGCACTACAAACATACAGGCAAAACACTCACACACATAAAATAAATAATATTTTTTAAAAATCACAATAGCTCAAAATTGCACACTCAATTGCTCTTCTTGTTGGTGATGAGCGCTCTAAGATCCAAGCCCTCTATCATGACACCTGGTGACAGTTATATAATGGCCCACCAAGGCTGGTGATGATGCAATCTGCCTGACCTACTTGTTCCTGTGTGTGCTGATTAGGTAGTTTTAAAAAAAGCTATCCCAGGTGGGTCATACCCTGAGGCTAGTTGAGCTGCTTTTGTTCTGCTGGCCCTCAGAGGGTCCTAGACCTTAGATATGCATTAGACTTTCTGAGACAAGAGGTTAAAGGAAGATTCCTGCCCCACCCCCTAGCTTTGTAAGCCTAAAGAGCTGACCAAGCACAACGCTTTTTAAAGCACATTAAAGGAACCCAAAGAAGGTGGGAGGGGGGCTGCAAAGAAACAGTTTACCCGTTTACACTTTAGAAGCCACTAACCCCTAAGAATTTTGTTTTTTCTTCCCTTGCTTAAACCTAGTTCCAGCCCTGTCGTCAGTACTGGTGGTGTGACACCTCTTTCTGAAAAGGCTAAGGTACACTGGTCCAGGGTGGGCTGTCCATGCAAGGGGTATTAGGATAATGTTTAATGCATAAAGAATGAGCTAGGTAGAAATCTGATTCCTACAAATGAAAATCTGGGCTCATCTGCATTTTGTAAGAGGCTCGATGCACCGTGTATGGCATTAAATATGCATTTCAATGCTAAAGATACATAACTCTGCACTTCTCCAGGTTAAGTCTGAGCTGTGGTTTCTCAGATATTCTGTAATAAGTAGGGTACCAAATGACACGCTCCCTAATTCCTTCCAAGTTGGAAGTTTTGATAAGCCTAAGTTGTGTCTAGGTTACACATTTCCTGTGCAGATTTTTTTAAGTAGACTTTTTTCCTGAAAAACATTGTAGACTTAAGTCATTCTGGTGTTCCCAACAATACTGAACAATTTGTAGGCAGTAACTGAGAATTTGTTGCTCATGCAATTAAAATCCCAAACACTCACTGATCTACCACACAGACGGGTGCTCTTGACAAATATTCCTTCTCACCACCATCAGGTCCATGTGGAAGGCAAGAACAAAATGAATTTTAAGAATGCAGTACAGATAACAAGAGCTGGCAGCTAGGGCTGGGAGGCTCCAGGCACACAGAGGCTGGCCTGCCTTCCATTCATCTCCAGCCAGAAGGGGTTCTGAGTAGAGCCTTTCTCTGGCCCATCCACCTTAACCAGCTCCCTAGCTGAATGCAATTTGCCCACACTCTATAATCAGTTGGACAGAGAACACACACTTAGGTCTCAAAATAATAAAAGACCAAGTGGAGAGTGTTCAGAAGGATGGATTTTTGTTTTTACAACTCTGGGTTTGCTGGGGTTGAATGTTGGCAGTGGCCATTTTCAGCAATTTGTCACCATCTTGGTTTGGGTCTGGGTAGAAGCTGTGCTCCTCCCACAGCACTGTTATAAGGAAGGAATGTACATCAACTCAAATAAAACTATAGAATAACCGAAGATGAGGTTTGTCACAAACTAAAGGAAATATTACATGTATTAGAAAAATCCCAGAAGAGATTTTGGAAATATATTGCATTTTATCCCTTAAGGGTATCTAGAAATGGTAAATAGGTATTCTTCATTTATTTGTTTATTTATTTGCTTATCTGACAGGGTCTCATGCTGCCCAGGCTGGCCTCAAATTCCATATGTAGCTGAGAATGACCTTGAACTTCTAATCTTGCTTCACC